TATATTATTATTTATTATTATTATTCTTCTTCATATTTTTATTAGGTGCGCCTCACTAGGATGTACATATGCTAGAAATTTCAAGTAATTTGGATTTATAAAAAAAAATGAAAAATGAAACACTATCAAACAACTATGACCGTGCAATGAATTTTGGATGGTGATGAGGGTAGGCGAAATCACTGTTCATTTTTCCTATAGGCGTTGGGAAGAGTTATATATATATATGTATATATATATATATATCATTCGCCTTTGATACAAAGTGGTCACAATTCCGTACAACCATTTGATGTGAAATTTGATGCTTGGATGTGTCACAAATCTCGAAAAAAAAAAATTTGTAAGTTTGAACATGGTCAATGGAATAATTGCAACCACCCAATTTCACATTCAATGGTCAAGATTAATGTGACCACCTCGTATCAAATATAAATGGTCTAATTCTATACTTTTCCTATACATATATGGGTTATGCGAGGGTCCTCACACTATGGAGTAATTTATAATTGTACTCAATAATTTTGGACACTTCTAAACCCTTGTTTGGTACATTGAGAATTTTTTAATAAGGGTATTTTTGGTCAATAGGCGGGTGTGATGTCATCCATATGGAGTGTAATGTCACCCACATAGAGTATACTATGTAATAAGGCCTTTGGTAGAAAGAAGGGCATCGGTTGTTTGGAGTGCTGCTAGAGTTTAAGAGTCATTTGTAAGTGTGCTTTGAGTGTTCTGTAGAGTGTGGGTGTTCTGTAAGTATTTTGCAAGTGTGCTTTGAGTGTGAGCTCTAGTGGAGTGTCAAGCTTCCATTTGTCTGTTCAAGCTCTATTCATGTAAGTCAATTTATATTATGATATTGTTATAAATACGTTTGTGTTTATTTTATGTTGATTTTATGTTGTATGGTATGCTTGGTTTATGCATTATTATACTATAACTTGGATTGCTTGGTCTATAAATTATATTATAACCTCAGTAAAGTTGGTATCAGAGCCATGATGTACTAACTCTTACGATACTAGAAAAGCCTACGGATAAGACAGTCCAAAGTAACGAAAGTCGCAGTGACCCCCGTAACACATAGACTAGAAGAGTCAGGGATATCGAAGGGGATTGTTTCCTATTGATTGTTACTAGACGCTATCCGAAAGCAAATTTATTATCTTAATGGCTTATATTCTAAGGTCTCTATCTAGGAGAACTAATACAGACAATATACTAAGAGTTAATAATAGTGAGGAGGTAATAATAAATAATGTAGAAAAACATATTCAAAACTGGAACATTCTAAATGTTCTAGTTTGTGATATATATAAGAAAGGTTCTTTTGATTTTAAAAGTAATTATTCTATTAAAACAATGGAAAAAACAATTTTTGTTATGGAAACACATGATAAGTTTCTTCTGCTATCCAAATCCATGTTGGAAGCATATAAAGGAAAAGGTTTAACTATTTATATATCGGCCTTATACAAGCAGCCATAAGACGTTTTACTAGGACATGATTAAATAATTCTATTCTATTATGTCTAAGGGAAAGTAGACATAAACGATTTACAGATTCCTTATTAGGAATTGTAGAATCTAGTTTATGTGATGGACCAATATATTTTAACTGCTATCCAAATTTCTTTGTAGCCCTCTCTGATCCAAATATATTAAAAGTCCTAACCCTAAACTTTCATACTGAAGGGTTTGACATGGAACAAGGAACACATAATTTGGCTATAGTTTATAGAATATTCAGACGAAGAAGTTAAAATCCAATTTTCAACTGTCAAGAAAACAAGAATAAACACAGCTAAAAACTTCACAGGATGCGAGCCAGAAATTCATATTCTTTTATTCTTCAAACGGAATATGATAGAGACCATGAAAGAATAATCCTAGAAGGATTGAGAAAACTCACTGAACAAGTAAGGCAACCTTATTATAAGGTTGATAACCCAGGTTCATCCCATAGAGCAAATCAAGAACCTATGGAACCTATCTTCTTAGATGTAGAATTCCAAATGAATGTCATTTAGAAAGATAAAGAATTTGTAATAGATAAGGAAGGTCTTAAAAGAGACTTTAACTCTGATCAAAATAAAGAATTAAGAGAATGGTTTATGAACGAATTTAATGACAAACTAAGGATAAATTCCATGAAAAATATTATGATTTATGTTAAAAAATAAATTTAATGTTCGTTTCTTTAAATGGTGTGAATGGTAATGCAAAAAGTATAAAATTATATTTTCGGACTTGTCTAAAAAAGAAAAGGAACTAAATATGGCTGAAAATGCTTTTCAACTAAAGAAGGAAAAATTATTCAGTCTATACATCCAACTAAAGCTGCTGTGGATATAAAAGGAGTAACAGAATCTCGTTATAAAACTGAACCATAAGGTTAGACTCACTTGTTAATATTGAAAGTACAAACCATCTTATCGACTAGAGTAATTATACTAACCTATATTTACAATCCTTAGGTAAATAGGCAACAAAGATTGAAAACGTCCTTAATAAGGAGATTGCTAAGGAAGAAAAGGCAAAAGAACTAGTAATGTTCAAACCTCCACTAGCATAAACAAAGACACATTTAATATGCATCCGGACAAGAAACAAAGTAATGAATTTATAGATGAGCTGGTTAGTAGGTTAGCTAAGATGGACCTTTCAAAAGACCCAACAACTTTTGGAAAAAATAAAGGCCAAGTTAATACTCTCCAAGATGATGGTAATAGTTATTCGGAAGAAGAATCAAACCAGTTAAATGCATGATTTCGGGATAAAATAAGATTTTTTATGGGAGAAAGACAATCCCGATAGCTCTTACAAAGATGTATTATACTAGACCAACCCCAGTAAACCTTCAGATTGAAGAAGATTATATAGATAAACTAGCCCAATATGATGATATATCTATTATAGAATAGAATGTAGACGGAATGTCTGCATATCATGTAATCAACCTGATGAAGCATATAATAATGTGGGCTACAGCTTCAAAACAAAAAGGCAATAAAAACTCTGATATTGCCAAAGTTATAGTATGTCGTTTTACAGCTCAATTAAGAGGTTGGTGGGACTTTTATTTAGAAGACAATGATAAAAACTAGATTATAGGAGCTAAGAAAAAATATAGTATATGGATAAAAACAAGCTCAGGGTTTAAACAGGAAGCCCCAATAGAAGAGGAATATGCGGTTAATACTTTAATATATACTATTACCCTACATTTTGTAGGAAGCACCACATTGCAGATGGACAGATCCAATTAATTACTTACAAATCTAAGGTTGAGGTGATATTTTAATCTGATTTAGTTGTCTTAGAAACAACATTTACGTCCTTCTTTTCGTCCAAGGGGCCTTCTTCCTTGAGAACTTCTTGATGTTGTTCTAGTTCCTTAGTGACAATTCTCTGTCCTTGGCTTTCTAAGTAATCATCCATAAGTTTTATGAATGACTTTTCATCTTCATTTTCTTCCTCTTTTTGGGAATGAGTGTTTGTTAATTCAAGTACATTAACCCTGGTATTTAAAGTCGCCAGTTCAGATTTTACTGCATTAATTTTATGTCTTTAAGTTCTTGAATAGTAGGTTGTCTCTGGTTTGGATTTATTATCTTGTATTCTATGTATTATGGTTTTGAAACTATATGCCTCTCGAGAAGGCTTATTTAAAGTTTTGATTTCCCTGGTTCGAGGGTTTTCCTTTGCGACATTAATGTATTGGTACAAACTCTTCTTGCTTGCCGATTTTCAATTTTGTCAATCAAAAATAAGATTTTCTTCTTTAGTAATAACATTGACACACCCAATGTGGATGATGTCACAATTGATAGATCTATAAAAACTTGACAATCTTAAAAATTGACGGCCCAAAATGCGCTACAAAATACACTATTTTCAAAACTTGAAATCCATTTTTTTCTCATATCCATGCAACTTGATGTCATTGATTTGAAGATATTTGGGCATCAAAACAACCTATTCTAATAAAATTTTTGAGATAGGTTTAAATTTGATTGTTTAAAGTCTCGGCTCTATATAAACTTTTTCCATATATATATATATATATTTTCTTCTATGGTCCCCCGTTTAAAACCATTTAAAGTTCATAGTTTCGCCTTTTGAAACGTACTATTACTAACGAGTACAATTTCGTCTCCTAGATTCCAACTTGAAGGATTCGAACCCTTGACCTTTCATCGTCTTGTCCAAACTGTCTCATCATCACCTAAACGGAAATGTCTACCACTGAGCAGAGGCAAACGGCTGGCGCACGTGTGTTGGAACATGGATGTTGGAAATTTAGTAACAACAAATAGGCCTGCCTCATCAATGTCCCATTTACTGGTTTCCACTTGTAGCTTAGGTCATACATGCAAAGTTGGGGGTTCTGAGCTGTACAATTTCAGTCAATTTAGTGAGAGGATTAACCCCATTTTTTGAGCAGATATTTCAGGGCTTTTAAAATCTCTTTACACTTCACACTGAATTGAATTTATACGTTTCTTTCTTCAATGATTGGATTTTTGTAGTTTTCTGAATTTTTTTCTCTCTCTAGAGTCTAGAGGACTAGCAGTTCGTGGATTTCCGGTTTCTCTCTCAAGGATTTGCTGAGGTTTTAATGGAGTACTATCCTTCCTCATTTTTCTGTTTAGTTGTTTCCTAGTAATCAGCTGATAAGTTCAGGTCTCTTTTTCTTTTGTTGAGCAGAATAAGCTGAAAAATCAAGGTTTCATCAGTATTCTCTCTCTCTCTCTCTCATCTCCATTGGTTTCAAGAAACATCCCCTTGTTTTTCACAAAATTTGTACATTTTGTCGGTTTCTTGAGTCCATTCTGCCTCCATTTTTAAGTAATCATTCTCTCTCTAGATGATTACAATTTTTAGCTCTGATGTTGAGCATTTTGGTTTAACCTAGTTCGGGATTTTTTTGATGTTATATTGGTCTTTGATTTTGGGTTTCTAATGGTTTTGCCTTTGGTTTTCAGGAAGAAAGGGAGCTTTCTCTGTAATTCTTTGGCCTGCACAACCTGAGTTTTGCTTGCTCAGGTTGCTATTCATAATAGGTCTGTACTTGGAACCTGCTCCTCATTTCGGTGTATTATCTCTGTGTGAAGTGTGTTTAGGTTTATTTTTTGCAATACACTGATGGAGCTTATGTTTAGGGGTTTTATTGATTCAATGAATTTTGAGCTACTTTTTCGCATGGGCCCATGCATTTTGATCGCTCTCTCTAAATCCGAACAGTATTTGGTTTCCATTTGAGATAAAATGAGAAAGAGCATGACATTTATACATAGTGAAAGCAGGATGCAGCTGTTAATAAATTGATAATATCTGAGTACTGCATGTCAGGAGAGAGAGAGAGAGAGAGAGAGAGAGAGAGAGAGAGAGAGAGTAGTAGTACGTGTTGGTGGTAGTACGTACGACCGGAACCGAACTACTATTAGTTAAGGTAGTTAGTTACGTACGTACGTACGTAGTAAGGTAAGTACGTTACGTTCGTTACTTACGTT